TGTAATATAATAAATAATATTTTTATATTCAAGATGAAAATCAACTTGCACGTGAACTATTCAGAGTCTGAGTGCAAATAACTACATTAAATAACGAATTTTTATAAGAAGTAGTAGAAAAATCAAAATTAATTATTTTTCTGAAACTTCATACTTTTAAGAAAGTTCTTGTCAAATTTCAAACAATTTTATCCACTAATTTTATTTTTATAGTGAAATTTCATGAGAGTTACGTAACCTACTAGTAATTTACATGTAGCATTTTGATAGGGTTAAGTTTGAAAAGCATAGGTTTACACATACAAGACGTACAATGTCTAGTGTCTCACTACCTGATAATACTGGTCAATATTGTGTCGTGTTTTATCAGACACACAAACATGAATATATATATTGGCATAGTGCATGTGATTATGTTGCAGAAGTTTTGTGCTATTTTGTAACATGTGGAACTTTGAGTTGTTAAAAAGTGCCTTATGGGAACTGGTACTGGGTTAAGACTACAGCTTAGTTGGTGTAGGTAGCACTGAAGAAGTGTCAGGTTCAATCCTGCTCATTGAAAGTACAGAAATTAGATTATCACATATGTATACTTGAGTAAGGAAGCACATTATGTTAATATAGCAACAGGTAAGCAAACAATGATTTATAAGCATAAGGAAGAATTTTATTGATGTTGGAACATACTACATGTTTTGACAGAACATTGGTCTGTCTTATAAATGTTACAAGTGAGTAGAAAGTTTTGAACCATTTTAATTATATTATTATTATTACTTATTTCATGTAATCTAGTCTTAAATAACTTTAAAAGATCCATATTTTTAGATTTTAGTTAATTTTATAATAATAAGTAAAGAATAAATATGAAAAACAAGAAATATAGTACTTACCCAATCTTCTTTTTTCTTGCTTTCAGGTTTTCGAAGAGAATTAACCCTAAATTTTTATACTACAGATAATAATGCTCTTATTAATTTTTATTTAATTAAATCATTCACCAAAGAATATAGACTAATAACATGCAAAAAGTAGACAAATTCACTCACTTCTCAAAATTTGCTGGGCTTTCTAACTATGCGATAAGAGCCGTTACAAATTCATCCAAGCTAGTTGTTAACTTTCCCATGGGAATGTTGCTCATTCTCTGAATGAAATTGACATTTAACAGTTCAGAACATAACGTTTCACAATACATCATTTGATAGATGAAAACCTTGACTTTATATTGGTTATAGGTAATATATATATAATGAAACGCAAGAGAGAACTATTAACGATTTTAAAAGAGTGGATGTGACAGGTGGGTGTGGCATGAGGGTTCTGATTTTCTATTCGATAGCTCTGTAGCCAAACAAAATTGAAGGCTACAGAATTATAGTTTGTTTGAGCAATAACAATTTTATAGAGAGTATTTTATGTTTACTTTCATATTCTTTTTGAGGGATGGTGGATAAAATAGGGATGATGACATGCTAAGAGAAAATGTGTCAAGGGGGTCACAATAGTGGAAATTCAGGATTTTTTTAAATATTGCCTTGTAGAAATAAGAACTTATAACGTGTATACTATTACAATATGGATTATTAGCTAAGATTTTATGCTATTCTAATTGGTATAACATAAACAAAAAGTAGTTTAATAAAATTTTGAATGTAAGATACTAAAACCTTGTGTCATGCGCAGTAAAGGGTACCTGGGGTTAAAAAGTTAGCACACAGGATCACATACAAAATTTGTAATGGTTTTCATACTAAACCCAAAACTTGAGCACTTTTGAATAGTGAATTATTCGAAAGCGCTTGAGTTTTGGGTCTCGTTTGAAAACCAAAATCTAGTATATTCAGGTTTATATAGATGTCTAATTAGATCAAGTATACTTCTAAAACCATTTGAAATAGCCCAAGTCACATATGGAAACAATTGTTCTGTACAACCTGAAGATTTAAGTTATGCAAATAATTTGACCTGTAAATGCATCTAAATATTAGAAGTGATTACAAAGTTTCACTTAGTAGTCACTCAGTGGATCTAAATGTAAGAGTAAGTTTAAAGTTTCATTAGTAGTTTCTAAATGTATCTAAATGTCAGAGGTGAATATAAAGTTTCACTTAGTAGTCATTAAGTGTAACTAAATGTTACAAGTGAGTAGAAAGCTTCATTTAGTAGTCGTTAAGTGTAACTAAATGTTACAAGTGAGTAGAACGTTTCATTTAGTAGTCGTTAAGTGTAACCGAGGCACGCACGTGAGCAGCTCGTGGGTAATGTTATTTGATAGCATAACGTGAGCTGCACGTTCCCCGAGTGATTTATCATTTATAAAGTCGCGGATAATAATTAGACACGGTTGGTTAGTAGCTTTAAATCAGTCAGTATGGTATGCAAGATTGATTAGTTGCTTTAAATCAGCTAGGATGTTATTTAAGATTGACTTGTTGCTTTAAATCAGACATGATGTTATTCAAGATTGACTGGTTGATTTAAATCAGCCAGGATGTTATGCAAGATTGACTGGTTGCTTTAAATCAGACATGATGTTATTCAAGATTGATTAGTTGCTTTAAATCAGCCAAGATTGTTATTCAAGATTGACTGGTTGCTTTAAATCAGCAGGATATTATTCAAGATTGACTGGTTGCTTTAAATCAGCCAGGATGTTATTCTAGATTGACTGGTTGCTTTAAATCAGCCAGGATGTTATTCTAGATTGACTGGTTGCTTTAAATCAGTCAGGATGTTATTCTAGATTGACTGGTTGCTTTAAATCAGCCAGAATGTTATTCAAGATTGACTAGTGGCTTTAAATCAGCGAGGATGTTATGCAAGATTGACTGGTTGCTTTAAATCAGCGAGGATGTTATGCAAGATTGACTGGTTGCTTTAAATCAGCGAGGATGTTATGCAAGATTGACTGGTTGCTTTAAATCAGCGAGGATGTTATGCAAGATTGATTGGTAGCTTTAAATTAGTCAGGATGTTATGCAAGATTGATTGGTAGCTTTATATCAGTCAAGATGTTATACACAAAAAGCTTCTTAAGTTTAGTGTTCTAGAAGTTTTATGTACTTTATTTTCTTGATATAGTCAGGAGTTTATAATTTTTCCTGGTAATATGAGTGTACAAAAACATTTATACAGTGTGTAAAACCCGTTTAAAGTAATTAATAATGTTTATTTGTAGTGAATAAGTCCTGGTTTTTGTAAATACATAGATGTATTCACGATATATAGTAATGATACAATGATAAGTACCTTGGCTATAACTCCTTCATCTTTAAATGACATACTTTTATGTGAAAGCTTTTGATTACTTTCGATTTCTTTCTTTTCTCATAGCATGCTTTCCAAAGCCCACTACACGTTTGTAGACAAGTTTGCAATAGTCTGTCTAAGCAACCTAAAAGCACTAGTCCATGGAAGATGTATGATTGTGGTATTCTCAAGTGAAACTGATTTTTGTGTGAGTATTAGATAAGTCCACTTTGTAATTGGAGGATTGATCAGGAAACAGTGAAGTATCCAAGTTCAACTAAATGATTGAGTATGAACTCGGAAACTAAACACACTGGACACATGGTGTTAATTGAAACACAACATTTATTAGATGCAAATCATACTTGCATAGACACTGGAAGATTTCCTTGTACAGGACTGGTAAATCAGGCGACAGCTTTCTTCTGTATTTTTGTTGATTT